AGAGGCTATAAGATGTGGTACACTCTCCAGGTGATCTATACAGAAGATGTATTGTGAGGGTAGAGGCTGTAAGATGCGGTGCACTCTCCAGGTGATCTATACAGAAGATGTATTGTGAAGGTAGAGGCTATAAGACCTAGTGCACTCTCCAGGTGATCTATACAGAAGATGTATTCAGAAGATGTATTGTGAAGGTAGAGGCTATAAGACCCAGCGCACTCTCCAGGTGATCCATACTGAAGATGTATTTTGAAGGTAAAGCCTCTAAGACCCAGCGCACTCTCCAGGTGATCTATACAGAAGATGTATTGTGAAGGTAGAGGCTATAAGACCTCGTGCACTCTCCAGGTGATCTATGCAGAAGATGTATTGTGAAGGTAGAGGCTATAAGACGCGGTGCACTCTCCAGGTGATCTATACAGAAGTTGTATTGTTAAAGTAGAGGCTATAAGATGCGGTGCACTCTCCAGGTGATCTATACAGAAGATGTATTCAGAAGATGTATTGTGAAGGTAGAGGCTATAAGATGTGGTGTACTCTTTAGGTGATCTATACAGAAGTTGTATTGTGAAGGTAGAGGCTATAAGACCTCGTGCACTCTCCAGGTGATCTATACAGAAGATGTATTGTGAGGGTAGAGGTTATAAGATGCGGTGCACTCTCCAGGTGATCTATACAGAAGTTGTATTTTGAAGGTAGAGGCTATAAGATGCGGTGCACTCTCCAGGTGATCTATACAGAAGATGTATTGTGAGGGTAGAGGCTATAAGATGCGGTGCACTCTCCAGGTGATCTATACAGAAGATGTATTGTGAGGGTAGAGGCTATAAGATGCGGTGCACTCTCCAGGTGATCTATACAGAAGATGTATTGTGAGGGTAGAGGCTATAAGATGTGGTACACTCTCCAGGTGATCTATACAGAAGATGTATTGTGAGGGTAGAGGCTATAAGACGCGGTGCACTCTCCAGGTGTTCTATGCAGAAGATGTATTGTGAGGGTAGAGGCTATAAGATGTGGTACACTCTCCAGGTGATCTATACAGAAGATGTATTGTGAAGGTAGAGGCTATAAGATGCGGTGCACTCTCCAGGTGATCTATACAGAAGATGTATTGTGAGGGTAGAGGCTGTAAGATGTGGTACACTCTCCAGGTGATCTATACAGAAGATGTATTGTGAGGGTAGAGGCTATAAGATGTGGTACACTCTCCAGGTGATCTATACAGAAGATGTATTGTGAGGGTAGAGGCTGTAAGATGTGGTACACTCTCCAGGTGATCTATACAGAAGATGTATTGTGAGGGTAGAGGCTATAAGATGCGGTGCGCTCTCCAGGTGATCTATACAGAAGATGTATTGTGAGGGTAGAGGCTATAAGATGCGGTGCACTCTCCAGGTGATCTATACAGAAGATGTATTGTGAGGGTAGAGGCTATAAGATGCGGTGCACTCTCCAGGTGATCTATACAGAAGATGTATTGTGAAGGTGGAGGCTATAAGATGCGGTGCACTCTCCAGGTGATCTATACAGAAGATGTATTGTGAGGGTAGAGGCTATAAGATGCGGTGCACTCTCCAGGTGATCTATACAGAAGATGTATTGTGAGGGTAGAGGCTATAAGATGCGGTGCACTCTCCAGGTGATCTATACAGAAGATGTATTGTGAAGGTAGAGGCTATAAGATTGGGTGCACTCTCCAGGTGATGTTTCTTCTTGTGTTTCTTGTACCTGGGATCTGTGGACTGAATCTGCTCCAGGACCCACCATGATTCTTGATATGGGATTAAACTGTTTGACTGAGTTACTATTCAGCAAGTCTTTATGGTTTAATCGTTACTCTGGTGTTTGATCAAGTGTGCTGGCTTTCATCAAGTGCAGGATTTGAGCCACTCCCAGTGGTGCACTATTCAGGAGAACCTTCAGCATGTGCTGAAAGCTGCTTGTGTTTGTGCCAGTCACTTCTGGTTATTTTGGTCTGGTTTGTGTGCACTCCACAGTTATTAATTTTATCATTGATTTGTTGATTTATCCAGCAAATAGAAAAGCAAGTCAATTGTGCTGATTGTTGATAAGTGAAATAAAATCTGACGTGTTGACGTTTCCCTCAGTGTTGGAAATATTTTCACTGGTCAGTTCCAAACATCAATACTTTCATGAGCTGTGTTCACATCTTTGTGAAGCAACAGACGGACCAGAATTAGCAAATGTGTAGGCGTATTGTTCGGGACTATGCATATCGTATTTGATTTGATGTTGAGACATTTATATATCGTATATAGCGATATAGCCAGTCTGTCCGTACGTCTGTCCATTCTTCCATCTGTCCATCTGTCTGGACGTCCATCCGTCTGTCTGTCCCTAATTATTTCCTTTTCCAGGGCAGAACTCAAAACCCATTCAATACTTTCTAACAAAACTTTGCATGTCTATCAGACTCATGCTGAACTGGTGCCTTTTGCTATTTAGCACTTTTAGAAATTTTGATTTTTTATGTTTCCATGGCAACAAGTTGGAGTTAAGTTTTTATATTGGGTGGGTTCACTTATGGAGTATAACAAATAAACTGTTAAATATTTCCTTGCCAAACATTGCATGTCTATATATAAAGCACATACTGAACTGGTGCCATTTGATGTTAAGGAGTTTTAGAAATATTTATTTTAGAATTTCTTTTGACATGGGCTAAGAGAAATGTTGGGTCAGTTACCTGGTTTGGGACCATAACGGTTAAAATGGGCGGGGGATATAGATGTCTTCATTGACTATACGTTTGTTTAGTTATTGTTTCTTGTAATTTGTCATTTGTTTACATAAAAAAACCTACAGAAACACACTCGTTTTACTTTCCATTTCATATGGATGTGACCATGGTGGATCTTTTGTGGGTAAACAATGTATGCTTCTTAGAGAACATTCAACTCTTGACTCATTACATACAGAGTTGCACATTTACTTGTGGTTACTTTACAGACAGCTGCCGGGGGGATATGTCATCTTCCTGATGACTCTTGTTATCATTGTTTGTGTCAGTACATATTCCCTCCTGAGTTCCTTTATGTCGGAAGGATGGGTATCTTTCCTACCTCCTGCACAGCCTGAAGGCATGTTGTCCAACAGAACATATTTCCAGCCATTTCTACAACACACATAGCAGATTAACTGCACTGCACATGACTAAATGTCAAATTTCATCTGATGAGTGTCGTCAGCTGTACTGCAATGTATTGCACCAGTGATAGGGAGGGGATGGTGCAGTGATGGTGCTGTGATGGTGCAGTGATGATGTTGTGATGGTGCTGTGATGGTGCAGTGATGATGTTGTGATGGTGCAGTGATGGTGCTGTGATGGTGCAGTGATGGTGTTGAGAAGGTGTTGTGATGGTGCAGTGATGGTGTTGTGATGGTGCTGTGATGGTGCAATGATGGTGTTGTGATGGTGCTGTGATGGTGCAATGATGGTGTTGTGATGGTGCTGTGATGGTGCAGTGATGGTGCAGTGATAGTGTTGTGATAGTGCAGCGATGGTGTTTAGATGGTGCAGTGATGATGTTGTGATGGTGCAGTGATGATGTTGTGATGGTGCAGTGATAGTGTTGTGATGGTGCAGTGATAGTGTTGTGATGGTGCAGTGATGGTGTTGTCATAGTGCAGTGATAGTGCAGTGATGGTGCAGTGATAGTGTTGTGATAGTGCAGTGATGGTGCAGTGATGGTGCAGTGATGGTGTTGTGATGGTGCAGTGATGGTGCTGTGATTGTGCAGTGATTGTGCAGTGATGGTGCAGTGATAGTGTTGTAATGGTGCAGTGATTGTGCAGTGATGGTGTTGTAATGGTGCTGTGATGGTGCAGTGATGGTGTTGTGATGGTGCAGTGATAGTGTTGTAATGGTGCAGTGATTGTGCAGTAATGGTGTTGTAATGGTGCTGTGATGGTGCAATGATGGTGCAGTGATGGTGCAGTGATAGTGTTGTAATGGTGCAGTGATGGTGCAGTGATGGTGTTGTAATGGTGCAGTGATAGTGCAGTGATGGTGCAGTGATGGTGTTGTGATGGTGCAGTGATAGTGTTGTAATGGTGCAGTGATTGTGCAGTGATGGTGCAGTGATGGTGCAGTGATGGTGTTGTGATGGTGCAGTGATAGTGTTGTAATGGTGCAGTGATTGTGCAGTGATGGTGCAGTGATGGTGCAGTGATAGTGTTGTAATGGTGCAGTGATTGTGCAGTGATGGTGTTGTAATGGTGCTGTGATGGTGCAGTGATGGTGCAGTGATGGTGTTGTGATGGTGCAGTGATAGTGTTGTAATGGTGCAGTGATTGTGCAGTAATGGTGTTGTAATGGTGCTGTGATGGTGCAATGATGGTGCAGTGATGGTGCAGTGATGGTGTTGTGATGGTGCAGTGATAGTGTTGTAATGGTGCAGTGATGGTGCAGTGATGGTGCAGTGATGGTGTTGTAATGGTGCAGTGATAGTGCAGTGATGGTGCAGTGATGGTGCAGTGATGGTGTTGTAATGGTGCAGTGATGGTGCAGTGATGGTGTTGTAATGGTGCAGTGATAGTGCAGTGATGGTACAGTGATGGTGCAGAGATGGTGCAGTGATGGTGCAGTGATGGTGTTGTGGTTGTGCAGTGATGGTGTTGTGGTTGTGCAGTGATGGTGTTGTAATGGTGCAGTGATAGTGCAGTGATGGTGCAGTGATGGTGTTGTGATGGTGCAGTGATGGTGTTGTAATGGTGCAGTGATGGTGCAGTAATGGTGCAGTGATGGTGCAGTGATGGTGATGTCAGGCTGATGATGATGCATTGAGAAGCCAACAATAAACATGTTCCTTGTGTTGTCAAGTAGCACCTTGCTTGACAGCAGTATAAGGAATGTCGCCATTACAGTAAAGTAAAGAAGTTGTTATCCATGTAATTGTGTCTACTTGAACATACAGACATGTTGTCCAGTAGCACCTCTGCAATTACATACCCTTCTTGTTGCTTGTGTTCTACAGGAGCACCGACCACACCCAGACCAGGACAAGATGGTCAGTGAAAATGGAGGGAAGGGCCCGCCAGACAAGGGGCAGATGTTCCCAAACCTCGCTCTTCCATCAACTTACAAACCAAAGTGTGAAATCCTTGCAAAGGAAGCCCTGTCTGCGATCAACCGAGCTACAACAACCATGTGTCGTCAGCAGATAGCAGACATCTCGTGTCTGACAAGGGAGGGGAAGATGTATGCTGACACACTGCCCAGGCTGTGTCCACTCAAAGGTAAGAATTAGTCACCCATGGGAGTCATCAGGTTCCCTGGTCATTACGTTTGTGTTGCTTGGAGGGTGCATCAGTGTGTTAGGGTTAGTGCTAAGGTTAGGTGTTTATGTCACCAGGTGGATGCATCAGTGTGTTAGGGTTAGTGCTAGGGTTAGGTGTTTGTGTCACCAGGTGGATGCATCAGTGTGTTAGGGTTACTGCTAGGGTTAGGTGTGTGTGTCACCAGGTGGATGCATCAGTGTGTTAGGGTTAGTGCTAGGGTTAGGTGTTTATGTCACCAGGAGGGTGCATCAGTGTGTTAGGGTTAGTGCTAGGGGTAGGTGTTTGTGTCACCAGGTGGAAGCATCAGTGTGTTAGGGTTACTGCTAGGGTTAGGTGTTTGTGTCACAAGGTGGATGCATCAGTGTGTTAGGGTTAGTGCTAGGGTTATGTGTTTGTGTCACCAGGTGGATGCATCAGTGTGTTAGGGTTAGTGCTAGGATTAGGTGTTTGTGTCACCAGGTGGATGCATCAGTGTGTTAGGGTTAGTGCTAGGGTTAGGTGTGTGTGTCACCAGGTGGATGCATCAGTGTGTTAGGGTTAGTGCTAGGGTTAGGTGTTTGTGTCACCAGGAGGGTGCATCAGTGTGTTAGGGTCAGTGCTAGGGTTAGGTGTTTATGTCACCGGGTGGATGCATCAGTGTGTTAGGGTTAGTGCTAGGGTTAGGTGTTTATGTCACCAGGAGGGTGCATCAGTGTGTTAGGGTTAGTGCTAGGGTTAGGTGTTTGTGTCACCAGGTGGATGCATCAGTGTGTTAGGGTCAGTGCTAGGGTTAGGTGTTTATGTCACCAGGAGGGTGCATCAGTGTGTTAGGGTCAGTGCTAGGGTCAGTGCTAGGGTTAGGTGTTTGTGTCACCAGGAGGGTGCATCAGTGTGTTAGGGTCAGTGCTAGGGTTAGGTGTGTGTGTCACCAGGTGGATGCATCAGTGTGTTAGGGTTAGTGCTAGCGTTAGGTGTTTGTGTCACCAGGTGGATGCATCAGTGTGTTAGGGTTAGTGCTAGAGTTAGGTGTTTGTGTCACCAGGTGGATGCATCAGTGTGTTAGGGTTAGTGCTAGAGTTAGGTGTTTGTGTCACCAGGTGGATGCATCAGTGTGTTAGGGTTAGTGCTAGGGTTAGGTGTTTGTGTCACCAGGTGGATGCATCAGTGTGTTAGGGTTAGTGCTAGGGTTAGGTGTTTGTGTCACCAGGTGGATGCATCAGTGTGTTAGGGTTAAGGTTAGGTGTTTATGTCACCAGGTGGATGCATCAGTGTGTTAGGGTTAAGGTTAGGTGTTTGTGTCACCAGGTGGATGTATCAGTGTGTTAGGGTTAGTGCTAGGATTAGGTGTTTATGTCACCAGGTGGATGCATCAGTGTGTTTGGGTTAGTGCCAGGATTAGGTGTTTGTGTCACCAGGTGGATGCATCAGTGTGTTAGGGTTAGTGCTAGGGTTAGGTGTTTGTGTCACCAGGTGGATGTATCAGTGTGTTAGGGTTAGTGCTAGGGTTAGGTGTTTGTGTCACCAGGTGGATGCATCAGTGTGTTAGGGTTAGTGCTAGGATTAGGTGTTTATGTCACCAGGTGGATGCATCAGTGTGTTAGGGTTAGTGCAAGGGTTAGGTGTTTGTGTCACCAGGTGGATGCATCAGTGTGTTAGGGTTAGTGCAAGGGTTAGGTGTTTGTGTCACCAGGTGGATGTATCAGTGTGTTAGGGTTAGTGCTAGGATTAGGTGTTTATGTCACCAGGTGGATGCATCAGTGTGTTAGGGTTAAGGTTAGGTGTTTGTGTCACCAGGTGGATGCATCAGTGTGTTAGGGTTAGGGTTAAAGTTAGGTGTTTGTGCAGATCCAGCATTCCAGTCCACAATATCAAAATCCTGTCTCAGATAAATTTATTGCCTACATCATATTATATTTGGTTTTCAAAAGCAGGGGGGTCCTCTTGTGTGACGTGTGTTCAGTGGACCTCAGTGTGTCATGTGGACCTTGGTGTGTCATCACTAAGTGTGTCCAGTGGACCTCAGTGTGTCCAGTGGACCTCGTTATCACATGGACCTTGATGTGTCATCACTAAGTGTGTCCAGTGTACCTCAGTGTGTCATGTGGACCTTGGTGTGTCATCACTAAGTGTGTCCAGTGGACCTCAGTGTGTCATTTTGAGGTTGATGTGTCATCACTAAGTGTGTCCAGTGGACCTCGTTGTCATGTGGACCTTGATGTGTCATCACTAAGTGTGTCCAGTGTACCTCAGTGTGTCATTTTGAGGTTGATGTGTCATCACTAAGTGTGTCCAGTGTACCTCAGTGTGTCATGTGGACTTTGGTGTGTCATCACTAAGTGTGTCCAGTGGACCTCAGTGTGTCATTTTGAGGTTGATGTGTCATCACAAAGTGTGTCCAGTGGACCTCAGTGTGTCATTTTGAGGTTGATGTGTCATCACAAAGTGTGTCCAGTGGACCTCAGTGTGTCATTTTGAGGTTGATGTGTCATCACTAAGTGTGTCCAGTGGACCTCAGTGTGTCATTTTGAGGTTGATGTGTCATCACTAAGTGTGTCCAGTGGACCTCAGTGTGTCCAGTGGACCTCGGTGTCATGTGGACCTCGTTGTCATGTGGACCTTGATGTGTCATCACTAAGTGTGTCCAGTGTACCTCAGTGTGTCATGTGGACCTTGGTGTGTCATCACTAAGTGTGTCCAGTGGACCTCAGTGTGTCATTTTGAGGTTGATGTGTCATCACTAAGTGTGTCCAGTGGACCTCGTTGTCATGTGGACCTTGATGTGTCATCACTAAGTGTGTCCAGTGTACCTCAGTGTGTCATGTGGACCTTGGTGTGTCATCACTAAGTGTGTCCAGTGTACCTCAGTGTGTCATTTTGAGGTTGATGTGTCATCACTAAGTGTGTCCAGTGGACCTCAGTGTGTCCAGTGGACCTCGGTGTCATGTGGACCTTGATGTGTCATCACTAAGTGTGTCCAGTGTACCTCAGTGTGTCATTTTGAGGTTGATGTGTCATCACTAAGTGTGTCCAGTGGACCTCAGTGTGTCCAGTGGACCTCGGTGTCCAGTGGACCTCGTTGTCATGTGGACCTTGATGTGTCATCACTAAGTGTGTCCAGTGTACCTCAGTGTGTCATTTTGAGGTTGATGTGTCATCACTAAGTGTGTCCAGTGGACCTCAGTGTGTCCAGTGGACCTCGGTGTCATGTGGACCTTGATGTGTCATCACTAAGTGTGTCCAGTGGACCTCAGTGTGTCCAGTGGACCTCAGTGTTACGTGGACCTTGATGTGTCATCACTAAGTGTGTCCAGTGGACCTCAGTGTGTCCAGTGGACCTCAGTGTTACGTGGACTTCGGTGTGTCATCACTAAGTGTGTCCAGTGTACCTCAGTGTGTCACATGGATCTTGATGTGTCATCACTAAGTGTGTCCAGTGGACCTCGGTGTCACGTGGACCTTGGCGTGTCATCACTGAGTGTGTCTTGGTTGACAAGTCAGCCTGGATTACTGTTCAAAGCAGCGTTAATCCCAACTTACTCACTCCGATTGGCAATGGAATGTTATACCCAATCTTCAGCACTGTAAAATTTGACTATGCTTCGTAAGTTTGCACTTTGACAGGTGGAATATGCACTTAGTAAGGTGGAATTTTGACAGGTAGAATATGCACTCAGTAAGGTGGCACTTTGACAGGTGGATATCCACTTAGTAAGGTGGCACTTTGACAGGTGGATATCCACTTAGTAAGGTGGCACTTTGACAGGATGATATCCACTTAGTAAGGTGGCACTTTGACAGGTGACTATCCACTTAGTAATACCCCGATTCCACTAAGAAGTGCTTTGTAGCGCTCATACAAATAGCCATAGATCGCCATATAGAGCGCGAAGATCTCCAAAAGCATTAAGGGATCACTATCTGATCTCTAACTGATCTCCATGATCATCAAGGTCGCCGCCAGTTGACTCCCCTGCACAAAAATCCATGGTGCTCCACCCAGAATTTGCCATCAGAACGCTACTTGATCGCCAAGGTCATGCTTGCTGTAAAAAGCGACAATGATTGTCGTAAGATGCGGCTAACAGGATCGGGTGGTCAGGCTTGCTGACTTGGTTGATGTTTGTCATGGTAACCCAATTACGTAGATCGATGCTCATGATGTCAATCACTGGACTTTCTGGCCCAGACTTGATTATTTACAGAACACTCGCTCACTCACTATATCCCACAGCCCGTGTATCACAATGCAAGGTATAGGAGCAGTTATCTCCCCTAGTGGAGCAGTGATGGTGTTGGTGACACAGGTGTATACTTTGTCCCTCACTCACTCTGGTGTCAAGCTGTGCTACAAGGGAAATCCTTGTCTCCTCAAGAGGTGGTGCTTCAACCCAGGATTCTGTGTGAACCGTTTCCTATGTTAATAGTTCTGCACCCATTGGCATAACGATGTCAAGTGGAAGAACATTGATTGCAGTTTTGCTGACAACCAGGATTAAGCCAGAGGCCTTTTGTTTTATTAGTTGCTGGAAACGTCCCCATTCAGCACAGGCTGGATTAAACTTTGAAGATTGTTTCATGTAATTTGGCTGATGTATTATTTTGTTTGTCAATAATATATGGAATATAAGAAAGTATGCACCAGAATCGCAAAAAATACATTTCAATGTTTCCAAACACTTCATTTAATAACCATTTTTTAATGTTTGTGTTTTACATATTGAAATATTTATGAGATCAATAGAAGTGCCTTGGCAGAAAATAGACTTCAAATTGTCTGAGGGAAGCATATTTGATTTGAGAAACTTGCCCAGGGACTACAGTTGGCAGAGAAAAGGCATGCGAGGATCAGGGTAAGCACAGCTAATGTCCACGTCAGCCTCCAGTGCTGAGAACATACGACTTTTTCATGACATTTTAAAACTCACGTCAAGTTCAGAACTTTACAAAAAGAATTATTTGGATTATTTTTGTCTGAGCCT